ATAGACAATGTATTTATTCAAACTCTAACAGCTAGTTAACAATGCCTAATCACTTGGTTAGGTACATCCTCTTCATTGCCTAACTCTTAGTTCTTAACTGGGAGCTCTGGTAGCATAGTGCCGATGGCATTTGACTGCTAACCAGGAGGCTGGCAGTTCAAACCCACCAGCCACTCCTCGGAAGGAAAATGGGGCAATCTACTTCCATGGCGATACTGCCTCGGAAACCCAAGGACAGGTCACTATGAGTCGGGTCCGACTGGACGGCACATAACAACAACAACAGCTCTTAACTATATTCATTCAACACAAATTTACTGCATGCCAGGCAATATGCTACGTAAGAGGAATGCAGAGGTGAAACACTAACACTAATAATAGTGGGAAGCAGTGGCAGAAAAACAAAGTAGTTTTCCTAATATTGAACACTCAGAGAACTGAAATAAATTTGTTGATTTTGAGAATGAGGAAGGGAAAAAACAAAAAAGGAAAAAGATAGACTAGATGGAAGATAAATACGATTTGGGAACTACCATCCCAAACTTTCTGGAAACGCAAGAATGCTCAGGTCCACTCCACTACTGCCTCACCAATATAAGTAAGTATATTTCATATTTGAAAGACAGACAGTTCAAGTTCTTTTTAAATAATGAAAAGGACACAGTTACTTTTACTCTTTAAATTTTACTTAATAGAACATTTTAGAATTAAAATTAAATTCCAGTGCTCTTGCTATCAAAAATTGATTAAATATGTTAATAACTTTAAATATGGAAGTCCATTTTTTTGCATAGTTCAAACAAAATTACTGAATACATTTATACGACCCATTTGTTTCTTTCCCTGCCATAGACTTTTAGTTTAAGTAGTTATTAGCCAAATGGATAGTCTGAGGAAGCTTAGGATAACTAAATCCTGTATTTATACACCAATTTAGTAGCATCTCTGCAACCAGTAGCAAATACAATACTATCATCCTTCAATACAAATGCAATATCCATAATGCTACAATAAATGCTTGCTTTTTTTTTTAGACCAAACTTCAATTATGGATACAAAAATCAAATCCATTGCCATCGAGTCAATTCCAACTCATAGCGACCCCCACTGGATTTTCAAGACAGCAAACCTCTGTGGAAGTAAACTGTCTCATCAGCCTCCCATGGAGTGGATGGCGGATTTGAACCACCAACCCTCTAGTTAGCAGCCAAATGCCTTACCCACTATGCCACTAGAGCCCCTTAGAGACCCTAAAGTGCACTGTAGGGTTTCTAAGGTTGTAATCTTTTCGGAAGCAGACTGCCACATCTTTTTCTTTGGGAGCAGCTGTTGTTGTTGTTATTATGTGCCGTCCAGTCAGACCCGACTCATAGCGACCCCTCCTTGGGTTTCCGAGGCAGTATCACTACGGAAGTAGATTGCCCAACCTTCCTTCTGAGGAGTAGCTGGTGGGTTTGAACTGCTAGCCTTCTGGTTAGCAGTAAGTGCCTCAAGCACTATGCTACCAGAGCTCCTAGTGGATTCAAACCAGAGACTTTTCAGTCAGCAGCTGACTGCTTAGCCACTGCACCACCAGGGCTCTTTTCAATTATGTTAGTGCAGATTCCAGGAGCTCCGGTGGGATAGTGTCTAAGGCACTGGACCGCTAATCAGAAGGCTGGCAGTTCAAAACCACCCCCCCCACACACACACACACACCCGCCACTCCTCAGAAGGAAGAATGAGCAATCTACTTCCGCAAAGATACTGCTTTGGAAACCCAAGGAGGGGTTGCTATGAGTTGAATCCACTCCACAGCAGTGAGTTTAGCTTAGTTTTGTTTGGTTTGGTTAGTGCAGATTCCAGCATGCTAGCTCTGATAGTACTGCAGAAGTTAAATACATTTTATTTATAAACTGTATCTAGAAGGTAGGCAGCGATTAATGAATTCTACTGTAACTCCTTAAGAAAAGAAAATCTACAGCAACATCAGTGCTGTTTATAGTTTTTATCCAAAATTTATCTGCTCATAATCACTTTGGATGCTTGTTAAAAACAGAAAATCCTAGGACTCACCTCATACTTCTATTTTATTACTTAACCTTACAATAGAACAATAACAAAAATATATTACAATTTATGTTTACTTATTTCAGGAAGCTCTTTGTCTTTCAACCATTTACTTTCACCAAGATAAAATTATAATGCAGTAAGACTGTTAAATATTCTAGTAATAAAGCTGAAACATCTATAATTCCAGTTTATACAGAGAAAAATAAAAATCTAAAAATTTACAGATAACTCAGTCATCAATTAAAACTCTGGAATTTTAAACTTTAATGACATTTCTGGACTACCAGATCCTTCATCTCAAGGCTCACTGGTAATTTGAGTAGGGAATTTTTTAAACATGAAATCCAATAACTGTATTTTCTAATCTATACTTTATTAGTTCCTATGAAATTCTGTCACTTTGAAGACACGCAACAACAACACAGAATCCCAGAAGCTTCTCCAAAAGAAGTAAAATTAAATAATCCCAATAAAAATTGTGAAGCTGCAAATTCATCCCACCCACCTGAGAAATGCAAGAGAGGCAAGGTACATGAAGTACTATTATATAGATTTGCTTCTTCCAACAAAACATGCATGCCTAATTCAAACAATCTAGTTCAATCTTGTGTTATGAGCTGTCTAAAAAACAGTCACTCAGCAGTTGGCATTTCCAGGTAAAACATGCCTCACTCTCCCCTCTTCCCACAAATACATACAAAATCTGATTCTCGTAATAGGATAATCAGGCTTCTCATTTATGTGTATACAGCTTGTGGACATGAAATTCCATATAAACATAAAAGTCATTAAAGACATAAGTTGAAAATACACATAAAATCTAGTTACTCTGTTCCACTCCCAGGTATACACCCAAGAGAAATAAAAATACATGTCCATACAAGAACTTACACACAAATGTTCCTAACAGCATTATTCATTGTTCATAAAAGCCAAAAAGTAGAAACAAGTAAGCCAACTGATGAGTACTAAACAAAATGTAGTATGTTCATATAATAAAACATTTGGCTGTAAAAAGGAAAGAATGATACATGCTACAAAATGGATGAACTCTGAAAATATGCTAAGTGAAAGAAATCAATCACAAAAGGCCAAGTATTATATGATTCCATTTATGGAAATGTCCAGAATAGGCAAATCTATACAAAAAGTAGATTAGTGGCTGCCTAAGATGGGGAAGGATGAGGTGGACCACAGACATGGGGAGGAACTACTAATGGATATGGTGGGGTTTTTTTTGAGGGGGGGTAATGAAAATAATTGTACAACTCTATAGATACTAAAAATCACTAAATTGTACAGTTGGTGGATTGTATGATATGCTAATTATGTCTCAACGAAGGGGTTAAAAGAAGAAAAAATCAGCTGCTCTGAAAATGACCCCCCTTCAACTCACTTATACATACTAAACAAGGACTCTTAGTGACCATATTTGGATTAAGATATGAACCAAAATAATGTTTGAAAAACAGTGATAAAAAACAGCATGGTGGGTACCAAGTGATTGTTTAAAAAATTCCTTTTCGTATATCTGAAAAATTTTAAATATTTTTTAAAACAGCGATTACTATTGCTGCAAATCACTTGTCCTAAAAGCTTACTGTAGAAGGTATTTAATAAATATTTATTAACTGATGGGCTAGCAAACACATTTTTCTTTACAAAATGGATGGACTCAACCTTCCACATCTTAAATAGAATTCAACTTCTATGGTACATTCCTCCAAAAGAAAATGAGTCATTTAAAAAAACCTTGACCATCAAAGTACAGGATTTTCAAAATGCTTAACTGCCTGTTATCAGGAGTACTTAATAATGACTTAAATATTTTCAATTTGCAGGATATAAAAGTCCAACTGTGTATATGAAGTCTAAGCAGTTCACCGCCTACACAACACTTGCTTAATTTTTGGGGGCTAAAAAATAAAACAGCACAAGAAGGGTGTGGCAATTCATCCAAGGTCACACAACAAGTCAGGGCAGAGATCAACAGTCTGGTTTATATCAAACCTCCGGGGGAAATTTCTCTGACAATTTCACAAAAAGATTTTTTGTTTGTATTGCTTTACATCATGAAGCCAGAAATAGAGGAGCGGGGGAGACACTGTCAGCTCAGTTCAAAACTTCTAAATAGAGACAGAGAGATTATGAATAAACAAACACTTGCTCGGGGAGTGGTTAAGAGCTAAACAAAGCTACTATCAATCAAGAGCGTGTGGATTACTAGCCAGATCTGTCCCACTTTCAACCCTAGGTTAAAGTCTCAATTCAGAAAGTCTAGTTGTTCTCCCTCGTATTCGGTTATGAAGGAAACAAATTGGTAACTCCTCTCCTCGGAACGTAATGTAGAGAGGAAACAAGGATTTAGTGTGGAACGTATTGCCTCTGACGGCAAGAAGGCAAGTTTTTATGAAAAATTAATGGGTGTCTGAAGAGCAGTGAATTTAAGGTAAGTCCAGGATTTCTAGCAATCTATGAGAATGAACGACCGTCAGAGCGGATCTATAATCATTCCAAGTGAATCACATGAAAACCTCTTCCAAGATGAAGAGAAGTCCACGTTCCCCAGCCTGGTCCTAAAACTGGAACCAGATTTTCTTCCGTGTGAAGATACTAGTGGGGAAGAACGGCAGTATGGAGAATGGATCGAGTTCATACGCCTCAGGGAGCCCACTCAGGGACAAACTCCGCTCGACATGCGTCCGCAGTAAGACCACGCTGGACAGGTCCAATTATAATGAAATGGACTCCTTGGCTTCGCAAACTCTCAGGCAAAGGGGCGTCGGCACACACACACACAGACACACAAACTCTCTCACTCACTCACTCACGCGTCGCTGGGGCCACTGGGGAGCCGGTGGGGTCGGCACAGTCTCTGGACACCGTCCTACTGGGATGAAACCGCCTCCTCACCCAGCTCTGCTTGCCCAGAACCCCACTCCCCTCACCTGGCCCTGGCCCCTGCCCCAGAAGAGATGAAAGAGGCGGCGGCGGCGGCGGCGGCAGTTGCTTCTGAGCGGGTCCCCCAACGGCGGTGCCTGCTTCGACCCACGGCCCTAATCTACTGCCGCCGCCATGTTAGAGGGTGAGGTCACCCCCAGCCTGCTTCCGTCACCAGCAGCGTCAGGGCGGGCCAGGGACGCCGAGGAGCGCGGGAAGGGGGCGGTTCTGTCCTCCCAAAAGGAAGATCGGACAACTGAGGACTGGAGGTTTCTTCGCGCAGACATGACCCGGAAGAGCTGACCCCTTCTAGCCTGCTCTTCCCAGGAGTCGCTCCAATCTATGATTCCTGGGATTTTGGAGGCGCCCTATCCCTAAGTCATTTCCGGTCATAGAGGGCTAGATGAAAGAGGTGAAAATAGATAGCTACGCTGGGTGGGAGGCTGGAGATTTCGTGGGAAGGAGCATTGCTGCATCCACAGATTATATTCACTTCTACAAATATGTATTGAGTTTTGGATGTGTGCAGGCGAGCAGATTAGATAAGAGTCACGAGTGCTGCGGGGTTCGCATCCACTTATCAGGGAAGACAGTCGTTGAAGGTTGGAGAGAATTTCCAAGGATATGATGAGGGAATAGGGTAGAGAAAGCTTTCTTGACAGAGGGAACTTCCCGAGCAGAGGCACTGTGACGATAAAGGAAACCTTGTGTACTAACCCGTTTTTAGTAGAGTGTAGGAAAGTAGAAGAAATTAAGGCTGCAGTGGAATCCTGTGTCCCCAGCACCTAGCACAGACCTTGGGATTTACAGTGTAATGGATTATTTGTTTACTTGAGTCGAAGCGTACTTTCGGGAAGTCAGTGAAGGTATCTAGAGGAGAGGATTAATATCTAAACCATGTTTTAGGGAAGTCAGATTGGTAGTGGTGTACGTGAGACGAATTGCAACAAAGAGAGAGTTGAAGGTAAGGAGTTAGAAGTCTGTTGTAAGAAGCCAGCTTAGAAGTGATGCAAGCTGGTGCTAATGGGTACAGGGTTTCTTTTTGGGATGGTGAAATATTCTAAAATTGATTGGAGTGATGGTTGGGTAATCAATGGTAAGTCATATGATATATGAGATAATAAAGTTGTTAAAAATGAAGTGATAAAAACCGAAACTGATGGTACAGTTGGTGGAAATGATGGGAAGATTGAGGCGAGTGTCATAGTAAGCTTTAAGCCTGAGTGACAGAAACTGGTGGTGCTATTAACAGAAATAGGGAAGAGATTTGCCAAGAAAAGGCTTAATGAGCCTTTAAGAAATTTAATAATTTCCTAATACTATCTAATATCCAGTCCATACTTACATTTACCCAATTGCCCAAGTAATTCCTTTATACTTTTATATTTTAAGCCAGGATTTAATCAGTGTTCATGCATTGCATTTGGTTGTTTTATCTTTTGTTAGTCTTTTGAATATTTTTTTTATTTTTAAAAAATGACATTGGCTCTTTGAACAGACCAGATGTAATGGCTTGATTAGAATCAGATTAAACATTTCTGGGAAAAAAATTCTTCATAGGTTAGGTTGTGTATCTCAGACTGCATTATGTAGGAGCACTTAATGTGTCTTGTGTCCCATCATTAAACTAAAACCAAAAACCAAGCTCACTGCCATGGAGTCCAATCCACTCATAGTCGTAGCGACCCCTCCTTGAGTTTCCAAGGCGGTATCACTACAGAAGTAGATTGCCCAACCTTCCTTCTGAAGAGTGGCTGGTGGGTTTGAACCGCCAGCCTTCTGGTTAGCAGTCGAATGTCTTAGGCACTGTGCCACCAGAGCTCCTAAATTTGATCCTGTCCCCCAATAAACTTTCACCTAACACTTTTAGCATTCATTTAAAATAAAGAGTTACTGTAATAATCACTATATGCTGAGCTAATTATTCTTTTCATTCTTTTTCATTGTTTAACACTATCACTGCCATTGAGCCGGATCCAACCTCATAGCAACCCCTCCTTGGGTTTCCCAGGCGGTATAACTACGGAAGTAGATTACCCAATCCTCCTTCCCAGGAGTGGCTGGTGGGTTTGAACTGCCAGCCTTCTAGTTAGCAGTCAATGCCCTAGGCACTAGGCCACCAGAGCTCCCTTTTTATGGTTTTAGATGAACAAGTGGATTTTTATTTAATGTTTTAAAATGAATTACAGTCATTATTCTTTTTAACTTCCAACTTGTCCAAGTCATTATTATTTTTTTTCCTTTTGAAAGTAAAAATTTTTGTTTTGATTAATTTCTCAATGTATATGTTCAATATGATACCAGTTTTATGGCAAAAATTTGGTTCCACTGAAATTCCATTATGCTACACAGAGCTATTTTTTTTTTCCAGGAAATACGTAAACAACTGGAACCAGAAAGCACAACTTTCTAGCAGCATGACAACTTAAACTGAAGATCTAATAAGTCTGCAACTTTTACACTAAATATGGCACAAACATAGCTCATAACAAAATTGAGAACTGGGAAACAAGATGTGAAGATCAAAAGGAACAATAAATATATGTACTGTAAAGACAAAAATCAAGTATAGCTATAAAGATTTTAAGGGATAATTATAGAAAAAGGAATGAAATGTTTTATTCAAATGCATTTTAGAGCCTTTCTGAAGAGATTCCTCAAAAATATGTTTTATTCCTGGATAGAGAGGGAGAACAATGTGGAAAAAAACTCAAAAATCATTTGGAGGAAAAAAAAAGGGGGAGGGGATCAGGTTTGCTGGTCTGGTAGAGCCTGGTGGAACCACTGAAACTGTGGCCCCTAGCTGCCCTTCAGGTCCAGAATTGAACCCACAGCTATGGCTTCCAGCCAAACAAAAGACAGGCATATAGTTGAACATTTACCTGAGGTAGATACACTCCTTGGAGAGAACAATCATGGGAGAAGGAAGGGTTGCTTTTGCACAGGGAGACAGCTCAGGGGCACGAGTGCATGGAGGGATGGACACAGGGAAGAGGTAACTATTGGGAGGAAGTGGGAGGGGAGCTATTGCCTTGTAAATTGTAGTCAATGTCATGAGACAGTGTGTGTGTGAACTGCTGTATGGAAAGTGAATTTGCTGTATAAATTTTCACCCAAATCACAATAAAATATATATATATATATATATATATATATATATATACACACACACACATATGTTTTATATAGATAAATGTTATTTAAAGATGGAACCAAAGCTATAGTTATAACATACAAAAAGTGTTTTTCTGAACTTTATATATTTCTTTAAGATTAGTGCATTAACTGTTTTCTATATGTAATTACTTGACATTCTTTTTATAGATATAAATCAAGTAGATGTTATTTTTTAAAAAGATTTGTAGGTTAAACAATATTTTTCTAAGATACTGTGCACATCAAATTTATGACAAGGCCTATTAAGAATCATTATTAATAGACATAACAAAAAGGGCCATGTAAGTCAGATTTTCTTCTTTATAATAATTTTCTTCTTATTATTGTTATTATTGGGCTTTGGGTACAGATTTGCAGAACAGAATCTGTTTTATAATAAATAATTTTCTGATTTCCGATTTACAAGTATTTAAAATGCATGAGAAAAATTTTACTTCTTCACAAGTACTTTTATGTTAACATAGTTTGATTCAATATATATGACAACAGATATCCACATGTTGTAACCATTAGTATGTAGTTTCTTTAGAAAAAGAAAAAAGAATATAACACTAACAACTACTACCTATAAAATAAAGTACACAATTATTTTGGTGATTTTTACAAATTTTTCCCCAGGTATAAATGCTATAAAAAACTGCTAAAAATTAGAGAACACTGGAAACATATTAAAGTCTGACTTTCAACTTTATAGTATTTCCATTTTATCCTGAAAGATATCTTTAAGAAATATGAGCTTGCTGGAATAGGCCACCTTGCTAATATAAAAAACTGATGAGAGCCAAGAGATTGTATCACTGATATGTGGAATATCTGTAAATAGTTATCTCTCCAAATCATTAGAAAAATGTTCAAAGGTAAAACATAAAATATAGTGATGGTCTCTAAGCTATTCTGAAGTCTAGGTTAAGCTAAAATATTTTTTTTTTCACTCATTGGGCTCATCCTTCCCTCAAATGCCCTTTTGAAAAAAATGCATGGAACAGAACAACAGGAACAATCAAACAGCACAAACTATTTTCAGGAACAGAAAATTCTCTAGTACTTAAAGAGTAAAAAGCAGATTTCTTTGGAGACATTAATTAATTAGCTTGTAATTCATTATGAAGATAATGAGTCTTCTAGTATGGGGAGAATCTCCTCCATTTGAAAATACTGTTCATTTATACCATTTTCAGTTCCTTTTCTAGAAGACTGGCCTTTAGTCACTGTTGGTTTCTATTTCACAATGGGCGCCTGAGAATAGAATCCCTCCACCACCTAAGCTGGAAATTAATGAATTTCCACATCATAAGTGCTTGAGTAATCCAAGTGGATGCCCAAAGAGCAATTTTAACAGCCAATAAATTGAAATTTCCAGTACTGAAATCAAACTTCTGGTTCTTTGCTCTTGCAAGACCAAAGTCAACAGTGAGTGCAGAGAAAGTCAGAAGTCTTACCAAAACAAACACCCACAGACAAAACCCTTTCTGATACTTTTTAATCACTAAAATATAAAACAGGTAGGAAAGGTGGAAAAGAAATTCAACCAAATAATACAGCACCAAACAAGTCCTAGATGATTTAAGTTCAAAAGATAAGCTCCAGCAATGTAAAAAATGTTACGACCAGTGTAGATAAGCTGACAAGGAATATCTTCTTTTTTGGTTTTCTGGAAGTAGAATTTGGGAAAAGCATGAAACCAGCAATCCAAATGATATGTGGAAAAACTGCATTTGAAATGTAATCAGGTTTTGGGGACAGGTCATTATTTTTGACTTCCACATTGGCTGGTGGCAGCCCTTTCAAGCACAATTCTGTGTCAAAGAACACAGGAGTCTTTTTAAGACTTTTTTTTAAAAAAATATTTGTTGTGATTTGGGTGAAAGTTTACAGAGCAAATTCATTTTCCATACAGCA